AAGGAACCGCCAATCCACTGTATCATAAGCTTTTCTTATATCAATTTTGAACGCACAACGAGGCGGACCTGTATTAGATTGATAACCAGACACAAGTTCATGCGCCATAAGGATATTATCCGTAATTCTTCTCCCCGGAATAAAAGCCGATTGAGCTTTATCAATTAAAAAATCCAAAGATCCCTTCATTCTATTAACAATGACCTTACTAATGCATTTATAAAGCACAGTACAGCATGCTATAGGTCGGTAATCCGTGACCTTTGAAGCATTAATAGATTTAGGGATCAGACATAAAAGCGTATGATTCAAGCTCTTAGGAAGATTACCTCGATAAAAGAAATTGTGAATTGCAGTCTCCACATCACGGCCAACAATGTCCCAAGCCTCTTTGAAAAACTTAGAAGAAAACCCATCAGACCCAGGGGCTTTATAATTACCAATGCTAAACATAGCATTTTTTAGTTTCCTCATCGTGAATTGGTCTGATCATATGGTTAGCTTCCACCAAAGAAAGTGTACGCATGAAAACATCATTAGTGATAGTCGGTTCAGAAGAAACATACCTCGAACCCAGAAAGTCTTTAAAATGATCCATAAAAACATTAGGCACATCATCACCATAGACATAAGCTCCATCACTTGTACACACAGACTGAATAGAATTGTAATGATGTCGTTCTTTAATCACTTTATGGAAGAATTTAGTATTCAAATCACCTTCATTCAACCAAGCAATTTTGGCACGTTGTTTTCGCGGCACAATTCTCATCCCGACATGCATTATGATACGCAATCCGAATATGACCCAACTCTTGGCCTAGCTCAACATTAGACGGATCATTATCAACATCCAACTGGATACGATCAAGTTCAGTCTTCAAAAAGGCAACACGCTTACCAAGGTTGCCATAAGAATGACGAAGTTTCCAAAGAGGACTCTTCAGTGCCTTCAAATGAGAAGTCACTCGAAACATAAAAGTACCCTCTATATTTTTTTTCCCATTCCTCCTTTACAACTTGAAGAAAACCTGGATGTTCAGCCAAGAAATTGTCAAATTTAAACCCATTTCTTTTTTTCCAAGTGCCGCATCTGAAAGAAACCGTCACTGGAGCATGATCCGAAAGACCCGGAGGATGAAAATGAACACTAACATCTTGAAAAACAGACGTGAACTCATCATTGCCCATAGCTCTATCCAATTTCCGCATGATACCTCCCGAAGAATTCGGTTTTTGGTTCCACGTGAAATGGACTCCCGTATAATGCAAATCAAATAATTCCACATCCTCTACAAACGCAAAAAAGTCAGCCATATCCAAGTTACGACGAGAGGACCCTCCAAACCCATCATGAGGGAATATGGTGTTAAAATCCCCCATTACAACCCACGGGGAAGAACCAATGAGCACTTTAAATTTCCGCAGCCCCGACCACAAAGCACGACGGGCATTACATACATTATCCCCATAAACCAAAGAAACGAAAATATAATGTTGACTACCCCGAACAAGCACCTTACAATTTAAGAATTGATTATGAGCTTCTAAAACCATGACATCTAAAAATCGAGCATCCCAAGCAAGGATTATACGAGTACCATAATCACTCATGGTTTGATTAGAAACCCAATGCCACTGACCAAAAGAGTTATAGCAAACACTTTCAAGAGAATCCTTAGAAACATGAGATTCGACAATGGAACATAAACACACATCATTACAATGGAGAAAATTCCGTACCTCTTTTTGTTTAACCGGAGAATTAAGCCCCCGGATATTCCATGAAGCAAATTTCATCATGAGGAAGGGTTTAGATTTTCTCCTTGCTCCCTATTATTCCTATTCTCCCCCTGACCATCAGTCAGATCATTGACCACTTCATCATGAGAGTCCACCCGAGAACCCCTAAAGTCTCAAGAACACCAAACTGATTAGAATCAACATGGTTTATCACTACTCCTCGTCTCGGCAACCGAAAATTTTTAATCACAGAAGATATAAGTGGGGTAGGAGTAGACATAGCATGGTTCGAAGACTTAGAAGATGAAGATGAAGGCCCATAAAAATTCTTACCTGGTTCACCCAACACATCCCTCCCCTCTGGCAAAGGAGGATCCATCAACTCAACATTATTAGAAACCATAGTCTCTTCTATTTCCCTTCCTTGACTTACAACGTTCACTTCCAAAGACGCTTCAAGAGGCTTTGATTCCTTTTTTCCATTATCCGTTTGATCACTAGAATGATCGGTTTTATTTGTTTACCTTTATTCAAACTAACAGCTTTAACACTCGACGAAAGTTTGTGACCAAAAATTTGACAATGGGTAGAATGTGTCTTCATGGTCCTTATTGGGTCCATTTCGTGTTAGTGGATATAATGGGCTATTTCTCCTTGAGGAGTCCAATTGGGTGATAATGAGACAAACTAGGACCTAATTAGTCTCATTAGAACCTAATGGGTATTAAGCGCCGCATCTCTCCTTGAGGAGTCTAATTGGGTCAAAATGATACTAAATGAGTCATAATTAGTATACAACTTGACGTTAATGTGACTAATTGAGGTATAATGGTTCTAAGGGTCCTAATTGGGTCTAATTGGTCCTAGTAGGAAGAATGTGCCTACTTTTAATCGAGTCATTCGTGTCAAAATGACACTAAATGGATCGTAATTAATCAAATTGGACCCAAATTGGTTTAATAGGCCCATTTCTTCACAAGGAGTCTAATTGGGTCAAAATGACACTAATTGGGTCTGTTTAGTTTGATCAGACCTTTTTTTTTTTTTTTTATGAAGGAAAACTTCGGCAAATTTATAAAACGCAATAAAAAGTTTTACAACGCAACCAAAAAACAGAAAGACCGCAACCTACACCAAAAAGCCCCAAGGCCAAATGAAACACCCCAACCAAGCCACAACAATTTGATGGGTGTAATCGGCTTCCTTCTCCAATTTGAGTCTAATTGAGTTGTAATGGTACTAAATCGGTCACAATTAGTCCAATGAGAAGTTAATGGGAGTAAGTGAGGTAGAATAGGTTTTTTTTTTTCCTTACAAGGTCCATTTCATGTTTTTTTTTTTTTTTTTTTTTGAACGGAAACCAGGCAATTTTATAAAACAAAAGGAAAATACATCAAAGCGTTCAAAAACAGACCACTAGTAACGCAACAAAAAAACAAATGACTTGGAAGAACCCRTACCAAGCCACCAAAAGCCAAAACAAACAAAGCCCAACCGACTCAAACATACAACTAAAAATAAAGAAAAGGAGCTGAAAACGCACAAAAACTCCCATAACACAGCAAAAACCCATAAAAATCAACGAGTATTGCCAAATAACCGCTTCTCCAACCAAGCCACACGAATTTCAACAGTCTGAACAATGGCTT